AAGAGTAGATGCTTGCATACGTGTGGGTGGAGGACACTTTCAACAACTACTGTAAATACATAATAAATACATTATGACACTTTACCCAGCCTACTAATTTTTATTTCATTTGCTTTAAGGGGGCATTTAATGAGCTTACCGTTTTTTCTATCCAAACATTTAATATTATGCCTACGTGAACGTCATTTGTGAAAGTAGAAAATTAATTTTTGCCCCACAAAAAGTGTTTCCACGCATGGTGGGTGTCTACAAAATGGCAACAAAATATCAAAGGCAGTCTCAATGAACTTGGGGGAAAAAACTTTTTTTGGTTTTCATTTTTTTACGTGCAAATGGTGCGTCGTACGAGAGTAAGTCTAGGGACCGAATTTGCTGTAAAATAAATGGAGATTTTAAAAATAATTTTAGTTTTTAGAAAAAGCAGTGGCGTACCATTTTTTTCTTCAAAAATGTTTAGTTCAAACCTCGTACGGACGTCATTGGCAAAGATTTTAAAACATTTTTTACATCAAACAATGCTCCTTAATGATTAATAGGTGTGTACAAAATTTCATAAAAATATCTGGAGTGATAAGAAAATTATAATAGAAAAGTAATTTTTTTCTTAAAACTGTAACACCCTGTAGCTCAAAAATTAAGAGGTTTTGGACATATGTTGAGGAAGAAATTTTAAGAAGAAAACTTAATTTCTTCTTAAAATGACCCAAGGATTCACATCCTTCAGTATCGGCATTCAATTAATAAACACCCTGTAGAACGGTGAATGATATGTTACTCTGTGAACTTAGTTAGTTACAAAGAAATACTTTCCAATAATTGCCTCATATTATTCAGAAGCAGAGATAGGTATATTTAAGCAATTGAATNTTCAATTAATAAACACCCTGTAGAACGGTGAATGATATGTTACTCTGTGAACTTAGTTAGCTACAAAGAAATACTTTCCAATAATTGCCTCATATTATTCAGAAGCAGAGATAGGTATATTTAAGCAATTGAATACCTTCTGCATTTAATTTTGCATTGTATATGTCAACCTTTTAGTAAGTTTAATACTTACATTACTTTCAGATTTTGTTCCATAAATCTTGATCGAGACATTGGACGTTGTTCCTGCTTTTGATTTATTTCCTGTCTTCACTATCAAAACGTAACCATACCTACACGATATTGGAATATCGCTCAAGAAGAATATTGGTTCCCCCAGAATCTAAGTTTCAATAAAACAAATGACTAATTTACGACCCAAAAATTACAGATAAAATTTAGAAAAGCTCCAAATATAAATACATGAAACTTGATATACTGGGTACAACTTTGAATGGGGACATGTTTATACGGAGGTTATTTTTGACCTCTGGAAACATATAAGTTTGTGATCTCTAGTAGTCCAGTATACAACGGTAAAAATAGGGTATTACCTCCGAATTCTCTACCGATTTTCATGAAAAATTGGTGAGTAAGCTCATTTCACCCTCCTTTACAAAAGTTACATATCCATAACGTGTGCTTTTTGTTTTTAGGGGGTGAAAACTACCCTTTCTTGCAAAAAACGTAAAAACCATAGATTTAAGTGTTATGTCAATAGAATAAGCATTCTTTTATGTTTTGAATAATAATTTTTGATTTGTAGCAACATTTCAACCTTTAAAATCCACCTTTATGAGGAAAAAAAACAAGTTTTCGCGACTCTCCAATGTTTTGACGGAGCAATAATGAAGAATTGAATATTTTTTACCGTTTATGAAATAATATATGATTTATTGCAACGCTTCAACCCTTAACAAACACCCTTATTGCAGAAATTTTTTTTCATATCTTCATAGCATTTATAATGAATGAAAGACTCACTGTTTATAATATTAATGATGATTCATTGCAACGTTTCAACCCTTAAAAACAATCCTTAATGAGAAATTGAAGAATTTTTACCTGCTTCAAAACACTCAACGATACATTACTAAATTCAACGAGATTACTTAAAACTCGAAACTTAAATTTTGTAATTAGTGAAAGGGAAAATAAAAATTATTTGTGTATTATACAATTATACTTTCGTTTTTTCACAATAACTTTTTTAATTTTTAATATTTTTCATTGCTCCAAAAAGCAGTTTGCAGGGAATTGCAAGAGCTACCAATCAACCTTTATAGGTTTTAAGGGCTCAAAGAAGGTGGTCCTTACACGCAAATGCAAACTAAAAAACCTAAGACCTCAGTTAATTTTTGCTCTAAAGAAAAATTGAAGTGAGCAAAAATATTATAAAAAAAGACATTTAATTTTGAACTCTTGCATTTTTCATGTATCTTGTTTAGTTTTCGAGTTATTTCGAAAAAAAGGAAATTTTTTTAAAAATTAAAAAAAAATTTTTTTTCATTTCAAACTTTTTTAAAATTCAGGCATTCTAAACCGGTCAAACTTACAGAGCCTATTATTATACCTAAATAAAGTCAACTGTACATGGTTTACGCTTAATTTCTATTTTTATGGTTCAGCCATAGATTTTATTGTTAATTTTTTCTCCGAAAAAATGAGAAGACCATTTTATTTTCATCATAACTCCGCGAGTTTTTGAGCTACGAAATTTGTGAAAAAGCATTTTAAAGGTCTTTCCAAGCACTTTAAAAAAGGTTATATTAATTTTCTTCTAAAAATTAGTTCTTTCGCCATTATTTTACGGTAAAAGGTTCGATTTTACTTTTCGAAAAAAAAAACAATCACCTTTAGAGAGTGATAACTCGATTATTATTACATCTACGGTAATCAAAAATAAATAGATTCGTTATTTCAAAAGCTTTATTTTTACTCTATATGAGTTTTTCGATAAAACGCAATGTTTTCGAGATATTTATCAAACATTGTTGAAAAACATGCACCTTTTAGATGAAAAATCAACATTTTCAATCGCAAATAACTCGGAAAATATTAATTTATGGAAAAAACGTTATAGTACATTTATTCATCCCTCTTTTTGCTATTAAAATGGGTGCCTTCATTGACACCTCCGAGAAGGGGTGGCATTCACCTCCAGGGTGAAAGCACACATCGGCACTATGTAACTTTTGTTTCTTGAGCAATTTTCTACTTACTGTTAAAATTTCACGTCAATCGGTGCATGTGCCAAGAATTCGGACCTAAAAACTGTCATATACTGAGCTATAGTTCTTTTGTATCAACTGAGTTCTAAAAAAAAATTTTTCATGCACTGTTGTCAGATCTCATCTTTCTCAATTTGTTTACACGTTTTTTTCATTTCAAGAAATTTAACAATTAACGCACAAACATACCATATGTACCATCACTAAACACTGCAATAAATAACATTACAAATTTATACTCTTATAATATTCAAGACACTAAATACACGAAATATATTTTACTATAAAATTTAATTTAATAAAATGCAACATCGCACTATACAAATTCTGTTTCAGTTTCAGTTACAACAGTTACATTGAAAACTAAAGTCATTGACACTCAATTTCATGAACTAAACACACTGCTTTAAAAAATAGTAGGTAAATACTTTTTATTAAAAAACTGATCCCCACTTAAAGTTACACCCTGTATAGTTCAACATTTACCTCATCTGCTGCCGCAATAGAAAACCAGCTTAAAAAAACACAATACAGAAAAAAGGCACCTGCCACAGAAGCGAATATTATATAACTGGCTTGTGTCTCCAATTCCAATTCCTCAATTATTAAAGTTTTTTCAACCTTAATTTCATTGTTGGCAATCATTCCTGCCATCGCAGATGAATGGTAACATTCACATATTATAAGATTCACAGACGAGTCACTACGAGACTGAAAAAGATACAATTCATGTCAGAAAATTAATTTTAAGAAAAAGTTTCTCATACGCTGCAAGCGAATGTCCATTTTGCGTCTCTGATCGCCCAGCGGAAACAGGATAACGTGTAAATGCTGAATTTATACTGAATGCGGCTATCACGATCTTTCTAAAAGTGATTTTTTTTCCAATAGTTACTAACGCAAGGAAAAAAAAGTAACTACAAACACAATGAAACGAATAAGATTAACACAATAGTAATAGAAAGTCGGCTCAAAAGATTGAAGCACAAGTAAACGAAAAATATGAGACATACCATTTTTGCACTGGGTAATACTGCCATGTAATACCAACTGTCATAACAATTGTTATTAGGAATAAATATTGTGTTGTTATTCCCGTCGATTTGTTTGGTTTTCTTTTGGAATTCTTCGAAACTAGGTTTGTAAAAATCTGTTATGACAACCTATTAAATAAAATAAAATTATTATACAGGGTGTTAAAAAAAGAGTGTAAAATATTTAAGGAGGTAATAGTATGAACCAAAATAAGCAGAAAAGTCTCAATAAACATGGGTCCGCAAAGTAACGGTTGCGGAGATATGGAATGTTTTATGTTTTTTAGCCCCTTTTTTTATTTTGCAAAAACGTTGTGTATTTTCTTATAATAGTTGGTTGATGTTTAGTGAAATAAACAGTACGTATTTGACAGTTGTTCTCAGTGCACAAGTTTTCTTTCGCTATGGCTGGTTACTCTAACGCAGAATTAACAGACATGCATTTCATGTATGGTCGTGCTAATGGGAACGCCACCGAAGCGCGACGTCTTTATGTTGACGCTTATCCAAATCGCCAGATTCCTTCACAACGCATGTTTGGAAGAATTCACCAAAGATTGCGTGATACCGGTTCCTTGAGCAAACAGTGCCATTTATCCGGAAGACCAAGGTCGGTATCCACTCCTAGAGCAGAAGAAGAAATTCTAGCACTGGTAGAGCAGAATCCAGGTACGAGTGTGCGGAGAATATCAGCCGAGGTAGGAATTAGTGGTCCTCTTGTTTGGAGAATCCTTCACGAGCAACTGCTTTATCCATACCATGTGCAACGAGTACAGGCCTTAAATCCAATAAATGATCATCAAGCACGTTTGGTTTTTTGCCGCTGGTTTCTACGTCATGATGCTGAAGACCCTCGTTTTCTTGCAAACATTCTTTTTACTGATGAGGCCGGGTTCACAAGAAATGGAGTGTTTAATTTTCACAATACGCATATTTGGGCCGACGAAAATCCTCATGCTCTAATAGAATCTGGACATCAGGCACGTTTTTCATTAAACATTTGGATGGGTATTGTAGGTGACAGGTTTCTAGGTCCTGTTGTTTTACCAAACCGATTAACAGGCGCTGCTTACCTCAACTTTCTGCAGAACACACTGTATGAGTTTTTGGAAGACATTCCTTTGAATCAGAGGCAACAAATGTGGTTCCAGCATGATGGTGCTCCAGCTCATTTTTCCATGGCCGTTAGAGAGCATTTACACCAAACTTTTCCACATAGATGGGTAGGAAGGGCCGGACCTGTTTTATGGCCTCCAAGATCGCCTGATCTGAACCCTCTAGATTTCTTTGTTTGGGGATATTTGAAGACATTAGTGTATGGTACTCCTGTAAATAGCCTGGAAGAGCTGCAGCTACGGATTAATCAAAAGTGTCAAGAAATCCAAACCAAGGAGGGTGTTTTCGAAAGAGTTCGAATATCGTTGAGACGAAGATGTCGTGCCTGCTTGGAAATGGACGGAGGGCACTTTGAACATCTTCTGTAACTTTGTTTTTTGTTTGTTAAAAGCTTCCTTTGTCGGTTTATTCCTAATAAAATAAAATGTTTGAAAAACGAATAGTGGTCCATATCTCCGCAACCGTTACTTTGCGGACCCATGTTTATTAAGACTTTTTTGCTTATTTTGGTTCATACTATTACCTCCTGAAATATTTTACACTCTTTTTTTAACACCCTGTATACAGGGAGTCCAGTTTATACTTAAAAAAAGCTGGGGTGTGAGTTCGTCTTGGAAAAATAACAGGCGTTTTCAGAGCCGTTGGGATGTTTAATTTTGATTTTTAACAACTGCTACTAATATTTTTACTAATTCTTTTTCTGTTTTGTTTGTTTCATAATTTTTATCGAGTCTTTTCAGAAAGAGAAACCTTTTTCAAACTAACAACTTTAATACCCTTTATCTCGGAAACACAACATTAGAAAGAGAAATGTTTCATAAACCACGTTCACTATTTTTCCGTGAGGAACTCAGTTTTTTTGAAGCATAATAGTATATTACGTAATAAGTGTTGTAAAAAGCATTTTACCTACGACCACTACTGTAAATACTTAAAAACACACCATCTGCGATCAATGTAAGATTCCTATTACGTACGGTAAAAAAATCGCACAGTTTTCCTAGCAACCGCCTAGCAACGGACAATACAATACTGTTTGTATTGACCGTTGCTAGGCGGTTGCTAGGAAAACTGTACGATTTTTTTACCAAGCTGTGCGATTTTATTTACCGTACGACGTAATAGGAATCTTGCATTGATCGCAGACGGTGTGTTTTTAAGTATTTTACCTACGACCACTGCTGTAAATACTTAAAAACACACCGTCTGCGATCAATGTAAGATTCCTATTATGTACGGTAAAAAAATCGCACAATTTTCCTAGCAACCGCCTAGCAACGGTCAATACAATACTGTTTGTATTCACCGTTGCTAGGCGGTTGCTAGGAAAACTGTACGAATTTTTTACCAAGCTGTGCGATTTTTTTACCGTACGACATAATAGGAATCTTGCATTGGTCGCAGACGGTGTGTTTTTAAGTATTTACAGTAGTGGTCGTAGGTAAATGTATAAACGAACTTGTAGGCTATTGATTATGTACTTTAGATAGGAACTACAACGTAACATAAATTTTATTGTTTGATATGTTCAATTGACCCTAAAAAATTATAAAACCGCGGAGTGCTACCTTTTAAAGGGGTGCGTTTTTGGGAACGAAGTAAAAAGGTGGTATTTTCAGTATTTTGAGTTTTACCCGAAAACTATGCATTTTTTCACTATAGTTGTCACCAGAAAAGTTGTAGCAAATTGAATTTCCCATCGAAGTGAGACCTTCTGAAGTCAAACAATTTATTCATAACAAAAATATGCCCAAAAAACGAGTACAAAACCGAAAAAATGCGATTTTTTTTTGGTTTATAGGCATTGCTTCACAGAAAAAAAGTTATTGTTTTTTCCTTTAAAACAATAATATCCAATCAAATAGAAACTTATTTTAATTTTCACATTCACAAAAATAAGTTTATTACACAAAATAATACCGAAAGTAATAAAAATTTTATAAAAATAAGAAAAAGTATCGTTGGTTAAATTAACATATCTCGGTTGATTTTAATTGTACAAACTTCTACCAAGCACCATTTTAAAGGTCTTGAAACCAGCTTTCATTTGAATATGGCATTACATATACCTAAATTAACTCAGAAAAATGTTATAAGACGAAAATCGTCAAAAAAGGGCAAAAATTGGCCAAAAATCCAAAAAGTAGCCAACTTTGATCCAATGTAACTCGGTTTCTATTAGTCGTAGGTAGGTACTTTTATAAACGCTTATTTTAAAGGAAAAACCATTAACTTTTTTTTCCGTGAAGCAATGCCTATACCTAACTCCTCTCAGAAAAAAGTTGTGGGCCAAAAACCAAAAAAAAGACGCATTTTTTCGGGTTTTTTTACTCGTTTTTTGGGCATAATTTTGTTAAAAATATTTTTTTTGATTTCAAATTCAAAACTCAAAAAACTGAAAATACCACCTTTTTACTTCGTTCTCAAAAGCGCACCCCTTTAAAAGGTAGCACTCCGCGGTTTTATCATGTTTTAGGGTCATTTGAACATATCAAACTTTCTGTTACATTGTAGTTCCTTTGTACCCCCTTTTTTTGACATAGTTAATAGCCTATTAGCAAGTGCCACACACGAAGGCGCACTAGACCACGGAGTGTCAGTATTTTTTCTACTATAGTTTTGTTGGTGTACCCTCTTTGATACACTATTTTAAAGTTTAAGTGCTATTGTTAGTGTAGCTTTTAACAACCAAAGTACGAGTAGGAATCTATTTTTTGAAGAACCTGTGTCAAAAATCACTGATAAAACTAAGCCCAAATAAAAAAATTTGTTGATTCTTACATCCAAAATTACAGCTGCAGGCAAATCTATAAATTTAATAATAAACGGCTGTTTCTTGAAAACATCTATTCGATGCATAGACATTCTTTCAAAATCATGATCTGTTTTGAGTGTGTTGTTATCTAGTATTTTTGGGGTGGCACTCCTGTGTATATCTATAACGGATGCTATATCAGCATGCGTTTCGAAAGTCAAAGTAAAAGGTTTTTGAAAATTGTTAACTGGTTTATCGTTTACATTGAACTGTACTATTGCTACTGATGTAAATATTTCCACTTCTTTAATCCACCAAAATAGGTTTTCAGTGCTCGTACACATCTGGAAACAGAAGATTATGAAATGGAAAAAATTTTTATTATAGTAGTTTCTAGACATTAAAATCGCTGCAAGTTAAATAAATTACAATGCACTTGCTTGGCTGTAGCTAGGAAGCTTTAATCTGTTATTGATCTCGGACGGGGTTCTGTGGGGGCGGACCTGCTATTAGGACCCCTAGGCTCACCTTGTTGTTGATATCAGTTCTTTTTGCCAGTTCTAAGGCCACTACGGATGAAACCATTTCTCAAACAGTTGGAAGCATCGGATGTGACCGGTTACCGAGGCCACTACAAAATTTCTCAGCGGACTACCATTGTCTGAACAGTGGTTCTATCGGTAGTAGGATTAGAACCAGCACGAAGAATCGAAATCAGTATCAGGCCTAGCGGTTCTGATAGTGGGTCATCCCCACAGAGCTCCAGAACAACAAAGACAGGTCAAATATTTCTAGCAAAGGCTAACTCTGTGATAATCTTTAAATATAGAAAATTTATTATGTTATATGTATATTTACCACTAAATGAACTGCAGACCTGAGATTGTTAAAATCACTTGAAGGAACCATAGTAATGTCATGGGATTGGATCTTGGTTCCTAATAAGTTAGTTCCAAGTCTTACTGTAGATGTAAGATTAAAAGAATCTGATTCCATAAATTGTGTGTCATCGTGATGAGATGATACGATTGCCAATTGCTTTGAGCCCGAATAACATAAATCTATTATGGTATTAGCTGTTATATGATACTAGAAGAAGAAATATTAAACAATTTTATATCTTTACTCTATTTTGAGCAGCAGATCAATATTTGTGTAGGTCTGTTATTAAGAACCGACTAACTGCAGAAAAATATTCCAAATTCAAGCTATATATTTTTGTCTATATAGTTTAAAAATGCCCGTGTTATTCATTATTCAATGCCAGTATATTCATTTTGTTTTGAATATGACTCAACAATCTTATACACATGAAAATAGTGCATAATAAAGAACTAAATATACAGGGTGTAACGTAAAGGTTGGGAATAAATTAAACAGTGGATTCTTTAGTTTAAAAAATAATTTTTTGTCACATGAAGTTACGCTCTACGGGTTTTCTTTTCCAAGCTACAGGGCGCTAAAAAATTTCAAAAAATTTAGTTTTTCTCCAATAACTTTCGAACATTAGAAGATGATGGAATGAAATTTTATCCATAGCTTAATTTGATAATCCCCTAGTAAAAGGAAAAAGATTGGTTTTGTAAGTTGCTCAGTGGCGTGCATACGAATTATATCGTAAGGGTTTTCGAAGAAAATTGTGGTAAGCCACTGGTGAAAACATTTTTTAACATTTTTTTATGATCCACTTTTTATTTTAAACAAAATTACCCTCTTGCGTTTTATTCCTAGCTCTTGTCACTTTTCCGTAAATAAACGTTTTGTAAATACCATTTTTTCCTATTGCTAACATAGGAAAATGAAAATAAAAACATTATAAGTATGCTTTGACCAAGCCACCAAAATTTGTTTTCAGATGTTTTCAGACAAAACATCATTGTCAGTCATGACATCTAGCTTTCCTTAAGCGGTTGTACTTTGGTTTAGATCTGTTAGAAATGGAATACTCATTTCCAGAATTAGCAGATATGCATTTTATTTACAGCCTTGCCAAGGGGAATACTATGTTAGCTGTGCGTCTTTATGTTGAACGTTTTCCAGCTCGGTGTATTCCAAATAGGAAGACTTTTTCGAGAATTCATGTGCGCTTACGTGAAACCGGCTCGTTAAAACCTTGCACCTCCGGCGGAAGATCTCGAAATGTAAGGACAGTACAACTTGAAGTACCACATCCTTCAGATGATCGAGGTGAATCGTAAATCAAGTAGGTACTAGAAGAATTGGAAGAATGGAGAGAGTAAGTCATATGACTGTCCAACGAATCCTGCATGATAATCTGCAAAGAGTTCAGGCGCTTTCTGTCGAAGATTATGCACCACGTCTTAGATTTTGTACCTGGTTTTTAAATAAGTGCAATCGGAACTTGTTATTCCACCCATCCATTTTATTTACCGACGAAGCTGGATTTACAAGGGATGGTATAATTAATTTCCACAATAGTCATATGTGGGCTGATGAAAATCCGCATGGAATAATACAATCCCGGCACCAGCAACGATTTTCAATTAATATTTGGGCCGGAATAATTGGCGATTTTTTTTATTGGCCCCATAGTACTACCAAACAGACTAGGCGGTTTATCGTATCTGGATTTCCTTCAAACAGATTACAACCTTTATTAGAAGAAGTTCCAATTGAAACACGCCAGAACATGTGGTTTATGCATGACGGCGCCCTCAATGAAACGTTCCCCAATAAATAGATAGGTCGTGGAGGGCCAAAAGCGTGGCCTGCTCGTTCTCCCGGACTTAATCCATTAGACTATTATGTGTAGGGGGCACTTAAAAAACATAGTTTATTCCGTTCCCATTTCTGATGTACAGATTCTTCGTCAAAGAGTTGAAATTGGCTGTCAGCAAATTCGAGATATGCCTGGTATTTTTGGACGAGTAAGAGAATTTATGAGAAAATGCATTGAAAAATGTATTGTAAGTTGGGGGGGCAATATTTTCAGCACCTTTTGTAATCTTGTTCATTACTTCTTATTACCTACTCAATGAATTCTTTAAATTCCAAGTCACTAGTGTTTTTTTTATTATTGTTAAAATAATGTGATATTTTAATATCATTTTCAAAACAAACAAGTCTTTTTTAATGCGTGTTTGACCATTTTCGGTAGCTGAGTCAAAGCATACATCATAATGTTTTTGTTATTTTCATTTTCCTATGTTAGCAGCGGGAAAAATGGTATTTGCAAAAGTTTTATTTACGGAAAAATGACAAGAGCTAGGAATAAAACACGAGAGGGTAATTTTGTTTAAAATAAAATGTAGATTACACAAAAATCCTGTTACTAGGCGATTATCAAATTAAGCTATGGATAAAATTTCATTCCATTATCTTCTAATGTTCGAAAGATATTGGAGAAAAACTAAATCTTTTGAAATTTTTTAGCGCCCTGTAGCTTGAAAAAGAAAACCCGTAGAGCATAACTTCATATGACAAAAATTTATTTTTTAAACCAAAGAATCCACCGTTTAATTTATTCCCAACCTTTACGTTACACCCTGTACTATACAATGAATACTTTTCCACACATAGTTACGTGTGTTGATTACAAGTCAACTTTAAATTTATTAATAATTTAAGGAAATATTTCCATTCGTACTTTCGCATTAAAAAAAGAAGTCTCTAAAAAAACTTTAATTTCAAAGACATCTGCTGCAGAAGTTTAAAAATATTAGATTAATTTGTTAATAATAAACTTGCTAGCTGGTTAGACCCAAAATATGATCATATCTTCATTTTAATATTTACATTACAGAACATCAGAAAAATATTTATTCCTTTTTTTTAAATTTAACATCTACAAAGTTCACTCGTTAAATATTTCCCTTTCATTTTATCTACGCTCACGCATCGCTCACTATAGGGGTATTTGAGAAAATTTGTAAAAATAAAGTAGACGAATGTCATAACAAATAAATTGTTATATCATATTAATGAATTGACACTTTCTGTCAACCAATAATTAGTATCAATTGATTAATTTATTATCAGAATGATGAATATGTCGATATGCTCCAAGTGTTTTTCGAATCCAGAAAAAGTAGTAACGCTGCAGTAAGATTATACCACCAAAGATATCCAAACCGACCTATTCCTCATAGACAAACATTGGCCTCGGTGGAAAGACGGTTCGCGAAAGTGATAAAATTCAATCCAATCGTGAGGATGCTGGAAGAAGGCGTAATGTCCGAAATGTTGAAAGGAAGCTATACTGGAACATTTAGAACAAGACTGTTGTACAAGCACAAGACAGGTGCAAGTTTCTTACAATCTTGTGTGGGATGCAGCTCATGAAAATCTTTTATACCGTTTTCACCATCAACCCGTGCAAGAATTGAATGACCCTGATTTACCTAACAGCATGGATTTTTGTCAATGGTACATTAATATTTCCAGGCATGACTTAAATTTCCTAATGAATGTATTTTTCACCGATGATGTAAATTTTCCTAGAGTAGGTGCAGTAAACCTTCATAATGTTTATTCATGGTCGGAAGAAAATACTCATGGAATATTTGTTTCAAGATGTTAACATAATTTCAGTTTAAACGTTTGGATGGGAATTGTAGGAAATACTCTAGTAGGTCCTTTTATTCTTCCACACAGGCTTGGAGCGGCCGAGTATCTTAGATTTTTGAACGAAAATCTTCCAACATTACTTGAGGATGTACCCCTCGCTACACGTTAGGTGATGTGGTATATGCACGATGGGGCGCCTGCACATAGCACACTTGCCATTAGAGAATGGTTAAATTTAAGTTATCCGAATCGCTGGATTGGTCGTGGTCGTGATGCTCCTGTTTGTTGGCCTGCACGTTCTCCTGACCTAATGCCTATGAATTTGTTTTTGTGGGGACACATAAAAAGTATTGTTTATGACACTCCTGTTGCCTCCTTAGAAGAGCTACGCTTAAAAATATTTCAGGCATCAGATGACCTTCGCAATAACCAAGAACTGTTTTGTGCGAGTGCGTTATAACTTCAACAGACGTATCAGGTTATGCTTGCAGCAAAATGGATTATTTCGAGAATATTCTTTAAATTTAATTTTGCATTTCTTGTTTTTCGTTTGTATTAAATTTTATTTCAGATAAATAACTTTACCTAATACATGTCCCATAGTCATAAGCTATCAAAAATTTTTCATTAATTAATAGCAAATTATTCTTAATGTTATTATTAAATTACCAGCTTATTGACAAAGAAATTGTCAATTTATTAATATGATAAATAACGATTTGTTTGTTATGACATCCGCCTAAATTAATAATTTGCGTCATATAAAACATTTCTAATAAAATATTGCAAGGGGATTGACTATTTCACTCCTTTATAAAATATGCCAATGATCGAACAAATATTGAGAAGTTGTCTCTTTATTAGTAGGATGCTCATGCTAAGTTTCGTGTCTCTAGCATTCCTCATGTTAAGGAAAAAAATTAAAATGTGAATTTCAATCCCCCCTATTAAGAGGGTATATAGAATCAGGGGTGCAACTTTCATATAAGGTATTTTTACTTCAATCCTCTTATTTTTGGCTCTACATTCACTGCTACCATTTTTGCTACTTCATTTAA